ACTTCAAACGTTGAATGCTAAATCCTTTGAGGGCTTGGGAACAGTCAATCATTTCGAATTACTCAACGTACAGCATAATGAAACAACGCCGCTGAAGGTCGAAAAGTTCCTACAGCCTATGGCTGGAAACCTAAGTAGTCTTGTGCTGCAGCAGTCACAGGTTGCCTGCGGTAGTCACATCATTTACGATCCTGCTCAGTGGCTGGATAGCAGCACAGCGTTTGTAAATTTATTAATTGTCAACCTAAGTGGAACGGAATTCAATCGAACGCTCAACGTTAGCACATTCTCCAATTTGTTAGTAGTCGAGCAACTTTCATTGGCCCAATGTAGTCTACACACAATCGGCAAAGGTACTTTCGATTGTATTCTGAAGACGCTGCGATCGCTCGATTTGCGCGATAATCAATTACAAACATTAGACGGCGATTTTTTAGTTGCTGCAGCAACTGCTGGCATCAGTATCCAGTTGGGGGAAAATAAGTGGCGATGCGATTGCGATAATCAGGCACTCATCGAATATGTCGCACAAGCGCAAGAGACGAACAGTGAATTGACGAAATGTTCGTCGCCAAATGAATTGGCTGGAACACCAATTCTTCATTTACAACTGGATTGTAATGGTAAGAACATACCAATAGAATTAAAGACTTTGGCGTGTTTATGTATAAATAAATTGGAAATTTTCAGCAACGACTATTACAACAACAACGGCGTCTTCAACAAAAGATGCTACAACAACAGTGTCTTCAACAAAAGACGCTACAACAACAGTGTCTTCAACAAAAGATGCTACAGCAACATCACCTACCGCGACAACCTCGCACAATTCAACAGAATCAATTGAAACGACGGATACAACCATTCGGGAGAAAACAACTAAAACCACTCTTCCTACAACAGGTAATATCTACAATCGTCAAAAAATTTCATTGAAAATGCAACACATTCCTTGGGAAAGATTTCAAAATGTTTTCCTGTATAAACTGTATATTTCCTAAATATGCGTCTATGTGCTCCCATACGTACCCTAACCGCACATGAAGTTCTCCTTCTTCTAGTTTGGCGCTTTAACCCTTTTTCTTCTGTGCCAACTGACGCTAATTGGGAATGTCAAGTGAAGACAAGTTCTTCTCCACGTAGTCTTTTCGTTGCTAAGCGGCCTTCTCGGCGTATATACATGTAGTAGGTCAACGGAAATAAGGTCCGCATACTTGTGCGAAATAAAGTCAATTGATATTATTACCTTTGCAAAAGCGAATTAAAGTCCATTGACATTATATATCTTTCAAACATTAAATTTGCAGTTCGTCTCCTCAGAGAATACCATTTTGTGCAGATGGTAACTCAGCCTGTAGTGTCCTGTCAGGTATCCGGTGAGAGTTCGTAAACCCTCTCTGCTAAGGTTTAGCAGCCGCTGAAAAATTCCGCGAGAGGGAGTTATGAATCTTTTGGATTGCCTTTTGCCCTTTGTCGTGCGTGATTGGGTTTTAACTTGCAAGTCCTCCCATATTCTTAGGAGCTCTGCTGAGTATCTGAAAAACGGTTCGCCCCTTTTATCCCTGATTATATCTTCTTCTTATGTCTATGAATCGATATTTTAGTATAAATGGATAAGGGGTAGACTTATAAGTAAATTGATCCGAACATAATACTACTACCACTGTTACTTATTTTCTCACCTGACTGCCTTATCCCAAAATAAACAGCCACTTACACAACCACCCGGCAGCAGTCGGACACGGATACAACGACCACACGATTACAAACTACTACAATTGGACCCGGTTTTCAGGTGTGCCCCAGCAGTGCTCTTCCAAAGTTCATATATTGTGAAACTGAAGGACTCGTTGTTCTCTGTGACTACGATGCCTATTTTGATGTGGAAGCGATCTCCTCAACGAGTGTACAACTAGAATTTGACGTTGAAGCTTATGGTTTGCGAGTTATATATTTTCAAGCAATGATATATAATGATACGTATTCTATTGTCATCGAAACCAATAACTCTCTGGTTATTAACTACCTAACATCAAATGAAATGTATGTCTTTTGTATAATGAAAACTTCTAGTTTGACGACTTCGCCATTTAATTGCGGTTCTGTGTACTTACCGTTAGTGAAAGCTGTGCCTTGGCGTACGAATGAGGATAAAGCCCTTTTCTATACCCTATCAACAATTATAACTATTATCTGTTGCCTTTTGGGCATAGCTGTATGCTATTGGATACTTCGTTGCCGTCCAACATTAATACGTGGCAACAAACGTATACGGCGAGTTTCATCCACATCGTACAAAGTAATGCTTTTTGCCAAACCATTCGATCGTTTGTCATTTGATTCGACACAGTTGGCGCTGCATGAACTCTCTAAAATTCGCTCATCCATTAGTGATACACTCACCGCAGAGAACTATTTGAGTGTCGACTCCCGTGATTATATGCAATATTTAAATGGCTTAGAGCTGAATCGAGAAGCAAAAGTGATATATATATCGGATAATCGGCCGCCATTTAATCGGGCGCCAACATTGCCACCACCAAAAGCCGATAGGAAGTATTGTAGTGAGCGTAGGCGCGATTGTAATAGTGAAGCGTTAAGCCACCAGAGTTCGCAATGTTCCACAGTGCTAATGAAAGATGAAACGCAGCCAAGCTCACGTTTTCTACTTTGGCAACAAAACGCTACTTTAGGTTCTTCTGAGAACGTATACGAAAGCTTGGATTACTACCAGGAGCTGCACTAGGTTAATGGAAATAATTTGATGCAAAAATGTGTTTAATTGAGTGGAAAATATTGTAAATGCATAAATTAATTAAATAAAACTATAATTAAAAAAGTACTAGCAGGTGAAAGACGTTGGAGTTTGTGTGAAAACTAGAGGTAAGTAAAATGAATAATAATACATGTTCGATCACGACTTTGACAAATGTAAAGTCTTGCCACGCGAATCTTGGCAAAACACCTGACCGTCCCAACAAAAGAAGCGATTTTTACAGCCTGCCTAACCCTAACTCACAAACGCGAAGATGGTGTTTTTATCATGTGAAATTGAAATGCTTCAGGCCTCACTGTATTCTTTTCTTAAAACTCTAGAGAGGCGTATTGACGAATATATTTGACGGAATATAAAAAAAAAAATACAATCTCTCCTCGAACCAGCATGCATATTCCAAGGGAAAATCAGTGCGGATCGCATTCCGAGTTTTTCTCGATATCGAGGGTGCTTTCAACAATGTCATTATGAGGGATCTGCTGGATTTTATTGGTCTCCTTATCGAACTGGTGAATGGCGCCATTACAATGTATGTGATCAGAGGCACTCCCCAAAGGGTACTGGTTTTCAAATCATAGCAATCATAGCAACGGGTAAATATTCTCAGGTCCTGAGTGAGTTAATGCAAAATGCACTCAGTCTTGTAAACATCTGGTCGAAGGAATATGGACTTATGGTCGAAATGGTACTCGTCACAAGAAAGTATAAAACTCCTATATTCAGCCCTCCCATCCTAAACGAGTTTAAATACTTTGAAGATAATATAGAAAAGAAACTTGACTGGAAACGAAATCTCAAAGAACGCTCCAGAAAGGCTAATTCCGCCCTGTATGCCCGCAAGATAGCTATCGGAAAAAAATGAGGAATGCACACAGCTATGATAAAACCCATCCCTTTCCATGGGGTTACCGGATGGTGCCCTGCACTTTGTCCGTCACTGGAGCACTGCTCACTACAGCCAACAAGTCTCTGGAAATAATGTTAAATCTTCCCCCTCTGGATCTCCACGGCGAATTTCGGGCCGGCTGAAGTGCTGCCAGGTTAAATCCGACTATCCGTAGAGAGATCTCAGATTTGACCGGATGAGGTAGCGATCCATAGCATAGCCTAATGGGTACACATGGAAAAAGGTTAGGATACCCCATTTACCATATCACGATTTTTGTCGCAGTTGCAGCGACGAGGAAGAGGTGGAGAGCATCGAATCTTATTTCTGCCTCTGTTTAGCCCTGGCCAAAATGCATAACCAATTCTTCAATAAGTAATTTTTAGATGGTTTAGCTGATCTGAACTCGGCGTACGTTCTCGACTTTTTGTGCTATATAAAACTCACTCGCTTGTTCAGTTTTTGGAGAGCTTTAATTTACTGAAATAGGGTGATAGGAACTAAAATCTGGCGAGTACGTACTAATTAGAATGGGGTATTTGAGGTCAATTAAGTTTGAAAAAAAATATTGTCACCTAGAGGCAAGAAGAATGGATATATCATAATTAAGGATTCAATAGAAACTGCTGAAGATATGATGCAAAATGTAAAACGGCGACTACAGGTCGTTCAAAAGAAAAATGTTCGAAAAGCGGTTATATTTCGGCAGAAAATGGCGAACCTCTGAGTGTGTATCTGCCTTGAAAAAGCTTCTAATAAAACCCTCTTGGTTGTTATTGCTTCCGAAAGGGTGGGTGTATATGTATTTTGTAACGAGTTTTCATACGAAAAATTACACAGAAGATGGCACAACGCCGTAACCGGTTTGTCTCCAAACCAAATTTGACAAGGGATGACGGAAATTCGTTCAAAATTAGATTTTAATTGAAGATTTCACCTTTTATGTTACAATATCAGTACGCACATCACAAGCTCGGCCAAACACTTAGCGAAAGTGTGAGCGATAAATATGGACATATATTTTTTTAATTAGTTAAAAATATTTCCTGTCAAATTGAAAGGTAGGACAAGTCCCTAATGCTGCTTTATAAACAATTACTTGCTATCACCTGTACTCCCAGCTTGATAAAATGTTAATTTATTATACACTACGTGGATAAGCATTCAAATTGATAAAATGATATGGGGTAGAATAGATAAAACGACTAAAAGCTAATTTATTACATACCCTGAAGTGGTAGGCTCTGATAAAATCAAACAAGCTGGCGTATGTGCGTAATATTTAATATAGGATCTTTTCAATAATAACTTCAGTCTTATACGGATTTCGGACTGACAATGTTAAAAGCTGAAATTAAGGATGCACCTGTTAAACCAAAGCGGAAGCAGTGCACAAGGGACTCGGAAATGTATAAAAAACAAGTGCAACTTGTTGAAGAGTAAGTTGAATAGTTTTTTTTTAATTATTTAACTGGTCCCAAACATATGTACATACATACGTACTTATTTACACATAATTAAAATTTTTCCCAAAACAGTGACTGGAAAGCATATTTGTCCAGCAACATTTGCATACAAATTACCGCCTGGCTATTACTCACCGTCGGTTTGTGTATAATTGTAAGCACCATTTATGTGGGAATAGTTCTACGGCAGAACGATGTGACAAGCGTTAGCGAAGATTACGGATATTCAACTGACAATACTACGGCGGCTACCTATACAACAACTATGGGAATAATGCTGAATAAGAGCGTCAGGTAAGTTACAAAAAGATATTGGTAAAATATGAATGTGAGTATGTTTGATTTAGGAGAGATAAAAAACGAACACGACGCAATGCAATTGACGGCATGTAGTCTGAATGTGTTAGCTCCGAAAAAAATTTTATAAATCCTTATGTACCTACTACGGATTCTCAGTCAGGACTGAAATAATCCACTTCAGCGGAATCCTAAACTTGATATGTATGTAGTCAGCATTAATAGGCGCCAGCATAAAAGAATTGATCTGGATACAGATCTAGGGATTCCATTTTTTTTCCGTTAAATATTGGAAACAATTCTGTTGTTTTCTCTACATTTTTTTAACGAATCTGGGCGCAAGATTTCACATTTTAAACAAATACACTACATATGACGGCTGAGTGGAAGATCGACCTACCTCGGCAGCCGTTTCAAAAATGCCCTCTCTCAGCAAACTATTCAAAACGGCTTATCTCAGCTGTCGATATATTGAATTTGCATTGAGATTGGGCATTTTTGAACCAAATTCAGAATCAAGGCATTTTTCAATCAAATTCTGAGGTAGGGCTTTCTTGAGCCAATTTCTGAGAGAGGGCGTTTTCGAACCGATTGCCGAGATATGTCGATTTTCCAATTAGCCGTCCATTTATTTCCTGAAAAAATAAAAAAATAAAAAAACAAAATGTACAAATTCCTTATGGAATATTCTATGTGCTTTGAATTTTGTTGCTGCATTATACAAACTGTGTACTATTTTCTAAATAATCATACAATGTCTACTAAGAAAATCGGCAAGATCGGTGCTGTATCTGTATGCTTTATCACCTATATCACTGGTGGCGCAGATACAACCCAGCAGAAAAAAATTATCAATTGATAAAAAAAAACCCACTTGTAGTTAGATTTTTTGAGGGATTTCTATAAAATATATAACTTGTAGTTAGCTACAAAAGGCTAACTTGAAACTAGTTGACAACTAATGAAGGAGATTGTTTTCTTTAAACGCGTTTCTATTTAAATATCCTGCACTTCGCAAATACTTTTTCGAATTGAGAACAAATAAAAAGAAGATCGAAATTTCATATTATCATTTTGAAGTTATGTCTGACGGAGTTCGAATATGGGATCACCTACAGCAGAATATGGAAACAAATATGAAATGTAATAAAATAAATAAAATAAATAAAGTAAATAAAAAAAAAATAAAAAAAAATTTGTTTTTCCTATCGATATTTTATGTCCAAAAGTAGGTAATTACAAGTTAGTTACATCAAATGCAGAGGTAACCACCCTTGACTACATCTAATACAGAGGTAACCCTTGATATTTCGCGGCCATCGCCATAGAAATATAGTTAGATTTCGTCAAAGTAAATATACAGATAATAAGTGACTTTTAGCCCCTTCCTGATCAACTTAAAGTTAGCTTATAGTTAGATACATTTCCTACAGGGAAGTGTTTGCGATATATGTAACTCCTTTATGTAGGCAGCTAAAACCATTAAATTGTGTTACCGGTTACATACCGATCACACACAGCAGTGAAAATAACTTAGATTGGTGTATCTTCCATACCTGATTGTTTAGATATTATTTTTTATAAATGTATATGTATGTATGCTGTGAATAGAACAATTTCATTTAGCTCCCAATTAACTAATTTGAAATGCACTAATCTGTTAATGTAATATCTTCTGATGTTCATGAAAGGTATGAAGCCTTCGGCATAGCCGACGACAGCACTGCTCTTATTTGCTTTTTGTATTATTTATCTTATGCAAATGCCTTTTATTTTGTTTACAGAGCTCACGTAGCAGTGGCCACAGAAGTTAGAGGTGAGGGGTGCAGAGAGTATAATTGCACGGTCACTTGTATTCGTACAAATGCAGATATTCTATATGAAAGTATCTACAACACCTGTGTGGTAAGGATTAAAGTTAATACATATTTTCCTGAAACTACATACATAGTGTTTTAGCTAATATGTAATATACATATGTATGTATTTATTTATAAATATATTAGCAGACCCGACAGACGTTGAGCTGCTTAAAATTATTTATTTGCTGTACGGTACAAAGAAAGCAATAATATTTATTTATTTTTATCTATTTGATATGTAATTATTGACAGTTTAAATCTTTACGATCGATTGTACGCATATTGCCTCCCAGTTTACAGCTGTATTCAAACCCCCCTAGCTTTAGTTAATAATGATGCGAAATGTTTTCATACCCTTTCGCCTGGCCAATCTCCAGGGTGTCCATCGAAAATGTTTTTGTTCGGAAATTTCAAGACCACCCTACCCCATAATTTTATTTGTTTTTACGAGAAATATTATTGCCTATTTTTATAGATTTTTTAAAGGTCATTTAGAGGTCTGTCTATTTAGGTCAGAAAATACGATTTTGTAGATTGTAGATGAGTTTTTGAATGACTATTTTTGATTCAATTTCAAATATAGAATATGATCTGAGAAGAGTATATATTGGCCTTTAAAATGTTATATAAAAATATGTGTACCTCAAAAGCGGCTAGACCGAGCTCAGCCTATATTGAAAATTTTTGAAATTGGACAAAACCCACAAAAAGTAGGAATGCATTACATGCGTGATTAATAATAGAATGTATTTCTTATGCGTTCGCGATAATATTACAGCTAACTATGTAATCAGCATTCTAATGCACTTTTCTTAGGAAATCGCCCTGGGGAAATAAATCGCCTTTTATTTGAAAATATATGTAGGTATCTCTTTTACAGTTATCAAACAGTCCTCGTATTTGTTGCTGATATTTTTTTGTTGACTCAGTTTCTCACACAAAACTTAAAGGACTTACTGCTTATAGTTAGTCGACTCTGAACGGCAAATGGCTTAAAAGAGAAGGTATTTCATGGCCAAGGCGGTTTGCCATTGCCAAACATTATTTTTCGAATCGAACCTGTATTCTACCTAGTGTTAGTGCGCAATTATAAACACCCGGCAACTATTTATTTTATTTAAGCAATTTTAGATAATATTTTTGGTTATAAGTTTTGAACTTTGAGTGACACCAACTTTAGCTGCTATTAGCTATAACCTAAGATATATCAGTATTGCATTAAAAAATATGGCCCCTATTATAAGTTGCATTCGATCTTCAACTGTGGTCGAAAGTGCTGATCGGAAGAATTTTAATTAAGTATTATGACGCTCATTCGAAGAAGAATTGTGAATTTTGCTTGTTTAGGTTGTTCACAATTACTGTTGGGAGTATCGATTACTTTTGAGAATCGAGTACTTCCTTTAAATGGGTTTAAATGGAGCCCTTCGAATAAATTTAATACTTAGTTAATTTGTCGTTTTAGATCTGCTATCTGATTCACAAGATCTGCACTATAGCCGAATCTTTTAAAACTATCAACAGTTCTGCGATTTGGCGCTCAGAGACCTTAGACCTGCATGAGATTAGTAAAAATTGTTCAAAATTTGTGTCTAGCTACCTTAAAGTACAAAAAAAAAAAAAAAATCGCACATTTTTCACCATTTTATCAAACTACAAAGCTACAGCATCGAAAGCAAAATTCTGTTCCACAGAAAATTCGATACTCAACGAAAATTTCGACACCGTTGCATAGCTCATAATACCATTTTCACATTCGATATTCGATAACCAGCATAGATCGAAAATCGAATGCAACTCATAATAAGGGCCTATATACTTATATATTTAACCAATAAGTACCCGTCTCAAACACTATTTTTTGCCTTTATAGGCGTCCAGCTGCCAAGTCATTGATGCAATTGATATTATAGAACAAACACTTCCACTTGGTTTATTACGAAATGGCTGGCTCGATTTCAGCCGACCAGTCTACGAGTTAAATCTGAAAAACAGCAATATTACGCACATCAGAAGTGGCGCATTTAACTCCCCTCTATTTGCCGATACATATTTATTATCGCTGATAGACTTGAAATTGAAAAGAGTAGGTGGAGGTGCACTAATTGGATTGAAATCGCTGCGTTATTTGATTATCGACACACAGCTAAACGAAATAAATCGTGCCTTCCTGCAGCCCGTACAATTAACGCTGCTACATTTGCGTATCAATAGCGGTTTGACCATATTGTCCGGACAAAAAATATTTGGTGTAAGCACGCTGACAAGATTGGAGTTTGCTGACCTAAGTCATAACGTATTCGCTGGGCCACTAACGCGGCAAATGTTTCTTGCCACGCCCAACTTGCATTACCTGCATATTATGAGTTCGCAAATTACTGCTATAGGCGTGGATGCGTTTCAGGACCTGAAGCACCTGCAAGTGGTAGATCTGTCCGATAACTTGCTTGCAACTATATCCATTACTGCGCTAAAGCCATTGCTCTTTGGGCGTAAACCCACACTCGTTAACTTGGCGTACAACAAATGGCATTGCGATTGTGATTTGCAGGAGTTCACTAAATTTTATCGAATATATCGTAACCAATTTTTGGGTACACTCTACTGTCACTCCCCGTTTCGTCATAATGGTGAGCTCTTAAGTGAAATTTTATTTGCGAATGATGATTGTGCTACGGAAACAACAACGAATTATGAGGGGATTATTGGGGAGTTGGTAAACATTTCAGCTACATCAACAATGTCAGATCTATCAAAAGTCCCTAGTACAACAAAACCAGCAACATCGCTTGCTCGTACTACATCTGAAGTACCCACTATCGAAGTAACCGCACTAACACCACCCGACAGAGGCAACGGTCGCTCGAGCTCTGAGGATTTAGGTATCATTCAACTGCGTTGCTTAAATTCATCGTATGAACAGAAGTCATCCAAAATTAAACGCGCAGTTGAAATAATAATTCAGTCAACAGAATCTGCTGACTCGCAGGAAAATGCAAACAATTTGAACAACTCAAGTGAAGAAAGTTCAGAAAGTGAGCAAAGTGATGAGATCGCAAGCAGCAACCCATTTACTCGTCGTCCGGTGGAGTTTTCTACGAGCGAGCCTACATATAGTCCTAGCAAGGACGAAGTGACCACTACTCGGTCTCGCCATAAAAATAGTCGCAATTCAATCGTGGCCTTTTACGAATTCGAGGTACCGTCATATACTTTCAATTTGACCTTGCTGCCCAATAATTCGGTAAAAGTTGTCATAAAGGACTACAATAGTCAACCAGTGATAAATGTAATATGGTTTAGACGAAAAAACGATACAGCTATTCGAGTGGATGGGGAAGCTGCAAAAAATATCGATTACAATTGCGAAATGTATCAGGAGCCATATCTGATTGCCAACAATCTCACTAAAAATTACACTTACACGTTTTGCATGCTGCCGCTAACCGCAAACAGCTATACCATCTCACCATTCAATTGCCAACCTATGCATGTGCCCACAAATCGACTGGGTGGTGAAGAAAGCGAAACCTGGATTTCCGCGGATGAAAAGCAATTCACTATTGGTATGCTGTGTATAATTTTTACTTTATCGACATTCTTTGGCGGAATTATAGCATATTTTGGTATCAAAACCTATCCAGAATTGTTGGAGGGTTCGAAAAATGTATTGGTGGTAAAAAGTTCTGAACCTGAAACAGATTATTTGAAAAGCATGGATTCAATTAAAAAGCAACCACTCAGCAGACGTTCTACAAGAAAGTGAGTATTCGAGATTTTAAGGGACACCCAAAACAAATATCATTTTTACTAATTTAAGCCTTCATTTACATTTGTACACTATTTTAACTGGGAATAAAAATCCTGTTATTGCTGTAGTAGCAGCATTACTAAGTCCTGCCTTAATCGCCAAATCTATATGCAGTTGTCGCCAAGCTAAACTAACGGTAGTCACGTCCTGTTTCGATGGCAACGGATCAAAGAGTGAGATTATTGGGGTTGGTGTCTTTTGGGATGCCTTCAACAGTGCTTCGCTTGTCGACGTCGAATCTAATTAAGTTCAACTTGCATATGCCTGCTACAGTATCCAATCCTTAGTTGCAATAGCGCAAGGCGGCTGAAGCTCTTGGTGCGACGAATGGTGGTTGAACTTCGATGAAGCCATTCACGGGGCGTGAGTTTGTAAAGTTGCTGATTGACACTCGGCTAATATCGCTTATGTCTTATCTGATCAATATAGGGTCCACTGGTTGGGTGATGTATATGGGTCAGGATCTCGTCGGTGAATACGTAGAGATGCCTCCTGCCATAACTGGGAGGTGACTACTTCCAGCAAGTGTCTGTTAGGTTACTTCCCGCGATAAGAGCTGAACAAGTATTGCAGGTGGTATTCAAGCGATATCAGAAGACATCCCTTTGCTATCTACAGTGAGGTTTTCTGACAAGTCTTAAGTTTCGTCCACTGCGATCTACTATTCTTCGGCAACCAAACAGAGTAATTCAGAAGCAGCTATTGCCTACAAACTTTTTTTTTCTTTTCGCCGAGAGCTGCCGGCGAGCCGTCGACTAGGGTGCCTAATTAAACACTCGACCTTTTTCGTCCAAATTATGAAAAGGGTAGTCGTTGATTTTTTCGGTCATCGCCAGACCAGAGTGTTGTACCAGCAAGATTTATAGTACGGCTAGACCAATGGCTTTGAGGGCTTTTGTCTTCTCAATGACAATCTGAACTAATCAGGCCATTGAGCTTTTTCACCGAAGTATTCGGCGTGCACTGCCGGCTAAACAGCTCGCGAATTCCTCCTACTTTTACTACTACTAGACTTTTATAAGAATAATACATAGGTTAAAAAATGAAACCACGTATTTATGGCAGAATAATATTTTTTTTTCAGGCTCATACCTTCATCACTGGAGACGCCTCCATTATCATTGCCGCCACCGCCACCACCACCACCACCTTTTTGCGTATCCACCCATGATTTGGAACGTTTGTCAAGCGTCAAATCTTCATCGACATTTTTCGAAAGCTCCTTTGGTCCATCACCATTCGCCGTAGTCGATGATCAATATGAATTGCCCAAGCAATATAGCCACACCATCGACGAGGAACGTTGTATAGCCAATGCGTATGCAAAGAGTCCATGTTCGCCACCACCGTTGCCCAAACGAAATCTCAGCATAACTTCTTCGATTGGCACCAACCATAGCATAAAAGCGGATTAAATGAGATTCCCTGGACTCAAAATAGACAATAGAGGTACATTTTGCTTGAAATTGGAAAGCCTCGAAAGATTTTGAAGTCAGTTTAAGGATGGAAATATAAACACTGAATAATATTTATGTATGTATGTATGTGTGTATGTAATTATGCATTATAATCAAAATAAATATAAATATGTACATGTGCATATTTCTTGTGAAGTCTTAGCAGTGGTATAGTTTGTCTCACCACCCAATGCTCAAACCTAGAACTCCAAACCATAAAAATGTGAGAACCATATTTCTTAAGTAACTTACACGATTTGATTAAGTTGTTAGTAAGTGGCTGTAACTATCTACATCCAAGAAAATTTCTGTCGAGTCAGCAATACTTTTCATGCAGAGCTTCGCCCATAAAATAAGCACAGACTCGCAAGTCAGACGCACTGTGTGTGCCGCCTATTACATACATAGTTATATAGTGAGCTATACATTCATAAAAAACTGATGAACATTAAATAAACAAAGAAAAATATCGCTAGCTTAGAGTGAAAAGTTGCTAAGTCCACTTTCTATGAAAACTCATATTTGGATATAGGATGCTAGGGAAATTGAATACGTATCGTTTCGAAAATTATAAAGGTACTTGTTTTATTTTTTCCTCTTCATAAGCAATAAAAGGAAAATTTGCTAAGTCCAAAAGAAGCACCGCAAATCCGATAAGGCCAAAATAATACATCTTTTAATAAATATCGAAACCTTCTGATTCTTATGGAGTTTTACTTTGCTTTAAACGCGCAAAATGTTTGATTCAAAGTCTTGCGAAATAGTTAAAGAAAATGGCTATAGGAAGATTTTTTCCTCTCCTGTAAAATTTTTAAAATGGGACTTAGCAACTTTTCTTTCTAAGCTAGCGATATACAAAACTTATAAAAATGTGGTCGGCGCACAATGCGTAATTTTGGGCGATTTAGGGGATGGAATATCATACCGCCAAAAATTTTTACTCTAGATTTTTTTTATGTTATTTACTTCTAATAGACCGTATAATAGTTTCAAGTGGCTAAAAATTACTGTTGATTTTTTACATTTTTTTTTGACCAGGATGTTTCGGGTTTCTTCTCTATAAAAATACATAAATTGTGTGTATTATGGGATAAAAAAATTATAAAAATTCAACCATAATTTTTAGCCATTTAAAGTTGTACTTTATTCTACCACTATTCAATGGGCTACAAAACTGTATACTCAGAATCTTTCTAGTAAATCTAATTAAAAAAGTTAGACATTTTTACGAACGTTTGTTGATTTTTTTTTAAATATTGCACTAAGTTTGAAACTTGGACTTACACGAGTTTTGTTAAAGAATTAACTTAATTTTAATAAAAAAATAACCAAAATTAAATAGCAACAAAAACATTATGTTAAAACTTGTCAAAATATGGTGCGGCTATAATTATTTCAACCACTGTATGTATGTACATGTGTATGTATGTATCTCTTACGATCCCAACAAGCATTTCAGTAAACGTTTTTAAAAATAACTTAAATTAAGTTTGCTATAATAAGCGTTAAATAAGCATTTTTAATATTAAGCTTATTAAAAGTTTTTTCAAACAAACCTTTAATAAGTTTTGAGAGCGAATGTTTATAAATAACTTAAACTTATAAATGAAATGTAAATGCCAACGACATGAAGTAGTAAATATAAAATTTTTTCAATCGTAAGTGACGTGTTTACGTTTTTTAAAATATATTATTAAAAGAACAAATTAAATAAAACCAATGCGGTAAAACAAGAAAATCCAATCCAGGACCCGCTGCGCTAATCGGTGGAGCATTCGAGTCTTCAAATGATGAGTTCCCCTTATCCTTTCTTAGTTTAACATTCAATTAAAAATGTATTAAATTTTTTTCAGAAAAGTTCATCAATGAGAATGGCGCGATAAAGCGCAATATATAGCTGCAACGATGTCCCTTTTCCAATTTGCCAATAACCGCAAGTAATTGAAAGCACGCAACAAGATGTAATAATTAACTTTTTTATGCTTAATTTGTATGTGTTATTGTGAATTTGTATGCTAAAATGTCTATTCCCTATTTATATTTTCGCGACTGTAGATGAGTCCGCGGAAAATTCGCATTTCGTTTAGTTTCTAGATGTTAAGCAATCTATGTATGAGGTTTTAATGAAATATCTTTAAATAAAGGGTTATAAAAATGTTTATAAAAAGCTTCCTTTTGAAAATTTTTAGTAAGTTTATATTGATACGCTTATATAAAACTTTTTTTGAACCTTTATTATAAGTTTACACTTTTACGCTTATAAAAAGCTTTCTTTTGAACATTTATTACAAGTTTATATTTCTACGCTTATAACCAATGTTCCTTTTCGATTATATTACGCTTACTTTCAAGCGTTTTATAAACAAAAAATCAACGTTTTGTAAGCTTAATGTTTATAATTGAAAACTTAAAAGAAACTTTCTTTAAGTTTATTTTGCTTGTTGGGATGCTACGGATATATTATGGACTTTAAAGAGCACAAATGTGTACGATCTTAGGTTGCCATTTGGCGAAATTTCCACCCGCGCCCTCGGTGATGTGAATTTACACACTTACCTCTAAATAAGCAAACACTTATTGTAGAGCAAAGTGGTAATTTTTTATTAAAGAATTAAACCAATATTCAGATAAAATTTTTTGAATTTGTTATCGATATTGGAAATAACGAATCTTTTATCCCGATATTATTGAGTTTCCGATATTTTTACAGCGATACTTTAAATGAGTACTATATCGATACTTTCGAGTCGTAGTCGTCGTGTCCCTAGCCTTGATGTTGTCACACAATGGGGTGAGACCTACAGTTTTAGTTTTTATACCCGAGCGCACTTGTGCACAAGGGTATTATAACTTTGTTCACATAACGGTTGTTTGTAACAGTCAAAACGAATCGAGATAGATATAGACAAATGTATACATAAATGATCAGAATGAAAAGAGAAATCGATTAAGCGGTGACTGTCTGTCCGTCCGTCCGTCTGTGCACACGATAACTCGAGTAAAAATTGAGATATCTTAACGAAACTTGGTACGTGGACTTCTTTTGGGCGTAGGACGGATGGTATTGAAAATGGGCGAAATCGGACAATAACCACGCCTACCTCCCATATAACGGTAATTTTCAGAAATACGAAAACTGGGATATTTTAGTAACTACTAAAGATAATTCACTCAAAATTGACATTTACAATGAGTTTTAGACGAAAAATAAGAATATTATAGATTTTTGGAAAATGGGCGTAGCCACGCCCACTTATGGTTACATGTGTATATCTTGGTAACCGCTGCACCAATTTCTTCCAAACTTGGCACAGTTGTTGGTCCTGGTACGAAATACCAAATGGCCGAAAATTTTTTAAAACAGATAATAACCACGCCCTCATCCTATATAACGGTAATTTCGAGAAATACGAAATCCTCGATAAATCAGTAAATATTAAAGCTAATTTTTTCAAAATTGATGGGTGCAACAATTCTTAACAAAGAAATATGTTTGTGATAAAATTTTGGAAAATGGGCGTGGCACCGCCCACTTATGATCACATATATGTGTCTCAGTAACCGTTCTACCAATTTGTACCAAGCTCGGTATGGTTATTGTGCTTGCCACACAAAAGCAAACCATTGAAAATTGTTGAAATCGGACTAAAATTACGGCCGTTTTTCATATAACCGGTAAATTTCAGAAATGCTTGAAATTGCAATATTTCGAAATTTAAGGACGCTAATTTACTTAAAATTTATACACCCCGGCTTATCAGTAGCGGCAGCTTTCGGAAAGGTGGAAAACATATATTTAATACTTGCGCCGGGTATTTAATGTTCGGCTCCGCCCGAACTTAGACTTTCTTACTTGTTTTTTTTTAATGTTGGTCGAAAACTTGGCTTGAATTCATACTCTGCGAAATATTTGCGCGCATTGCTAGCCACTACACCACAGCTGCCGCCTAAATAAATAAATTCCCATACAACTTGTAATAATTTACACTGTCGACAGATAAAGATTTCACATGCCATGACAATATTGATTCCGCCCAAATAAATAAATCAATATTAATTTGAGAATATTTTGTGAAACTTTCCGATTCGATTTACTACATTCATATTCATATAAATAAATATATTTTTGCTAACAATTTTCTGCGAGCAATCTTTTACTTTGAACTGAAATGGTGCGTTCCTCCCCTCCTGTAAGTAATTTCCAATGATTTTTTTCTGCTGAAAACTAAAAAAAAAATTATTTCCTTGCTCAGAATCAAGTTGATACGATTGCTAATAATTGGGCTGAAATTGGTGCACTTCTTCCAGTGTCACCACGAGCTCCACCCATACCGCGCAATAGACCTCTCTCCATGGGCATTTATAAACGACGTTCGATATCGTCAAAAATTATGGTCAGATCAGCTATTAAAACTCTTACGCGCAATCCACGTGCAGGCGTCTCTTTGACTGCGATCAAAAAGTATATTGCCGAAAACTATGGTAATGCGGTTTCGGATGTTAAAAATCGGTTTCGCTTTGTTAAGCGGTATATCAAGAATTCGCTTGAGAAGGGTGAACTTGTACGTACCAAGGGCAATGGGTTCTCGGGTTCATTTCGTTTGCCATTCCCACAACAATATATTCAAAAGAAGAAGACACAGAAAAAATCGATAAATAAGAAGAAGAATAAGCAGTTCGCCAACAAGAAGTCCAAAGAGTTGCATTTGAATGCTGGCACATCTCGTACCAAGGTCAATAGCAATGCTAGTGGAAGCGAAGGTGAAACTGGTGGCGGTGCTGAGTTTGGTTTAAGGACAGCAGGTGAACAAGCTAGCGCTGTAAAAGCAGTCTCAAAGGGAGCATCCGCAAAGTACGCAAAACCAATGCAGCCCTCCCCCCCCTCGTGAATTAGTAGAATAGTGAGTAGCAACTGTGGCAATTGGCGAAAGCTTGGCGAAAGCTTGGCGATGCTGATA